GACATCAGTGGACTGTAATAGAAAATGTTCTTTGACCATTCTATAAGTCTAAAGAAAAAAACCTCACTTCATTGTTATAAATCTATGCAGTGCAAAGTTTTAATTAAATACAACATTCATTCGTTCAATAAACCTCAAATGAGCATCTACTACTATGTATCTTCACAATGAAGATTACGAGACTATAATGACATAAAGTGTTGTTCTACAGCAACCTAAGACAGGGATATCTGTCCAGCTACAGTTATTCCCAATGACGGGTAAGCTGTTATAGAATTGAACATCCTAGCCCAACATAATAAAGGACAAAGTCCCTGCCCTCAAGAGTATGCCATCCAGCAGCGGAAACAGACAAAAAGAATGTGTGTCTGAGTTTGTATCCCTAAAAATTCACATGTTGGAAACCTAATAACCAATGTGATGGTATTAGCAGGTGGGGCCTTTGGGAAGTGATTAGGTCACAAGGACAGAGCCCTCACGAATTGGATTAATGCCCTGATAATAGAGGCCCCAGAGAGCTAGTTCCCTTAACCCTTTCACCAAGTAAAGACACAGCTAGAAGCACCACGTAAGAACCAGAAAGCAGGCCATCACCCGACACCAAATCTGCTGGAAACTTGATGTTGGATTTCCCACTCCAGAACTGAGAGAAATAAACTGCTATTGTTTATAAGCTACCCAGACTATGGTAATTTGTTATAGGAGCCTGAAAAAACTAAGACAAAAAAATATACAATTATGATAAAATAATAAAAAGACCATTTGGGTAGGGCTATGGGCACACATAGGTACATCTCATCCAGTCTTGGGAAAACCAAAAGGACTTCCCAAAGAAAGCGATGTGTGAAATGGAGAACTGAAGTCTAGACGGTAGTGATAATGACCATGACATTGAAAGTATCTTTACTGATTTCTCCCCAGGAGCCATGCAATGAATTAAGTCCTTTATGTGTATTTCATTATAAAATCATTAATTAAGAATTCTTATTCCCTTTTCATAGATAAAAAAAATTAAGTTTTAAAAAGGTCATACAATTTATAGGAACTTTACAAATGCTAGCTATATTATGACGTTCCTGCTGGTGTTCTCTAAAAAGGGTTAAAGTGTGAAACAATCTAATGATAGGAAACAGTTAAATAAATAATTCCCTCATGTTTACAAACATTATATTTTTAAAAAATATATAATGTAGTGGGCCGAGCCCGTGGCGCACTCGGGAGAGTGTGGCGCTAGGAGCGCAGCAGCGCTCCCGCCGCGGGTTCGGATCCTATATAGGGATGACCGGTGCGCTCACAGCGCTCACTGGCTGAGCACAGTGCGGCCGGTCTCAAAAAGGACAAAAAAAAAAATGTAGTTATATAACTATTACACCTGTGGTAATATTTTAAATGCTTAGGCTACAATGTTAAATGAAAATGCATAATTAGAATGAAATGTTTAATAAGATTACAACAGTTGAAATGAGTAATATATGTAACAAAATCTTGAGGGGACTATGAGGACTGAAGAGTGCTCTGGTGGTAGAACTGCGCATAATTTTTAAAAATCCTTATTAATGTTTGTATATTTATTTATATCCTGCCTTATTCCAAAACTAATTTAAGGTGGCTCCTGACTTTATGTTATTAATTAAGAAGTGATTACATTTTAGGGTCCTTACATTCATTACAATTTAGGGTCCACTTAAATTCTTTATGATATAAAAATAGGACAGATCATGTTCTGTGTGCCATAGCATGCAACAGTCAAACTACTTTCTTTTCTTAAAATGCCACATAAAAATATTACAGTTCTTTGACTTTTCAGATCACAAATACCCAACTGGATTAACCATAATTGGAACAGAGTTTGAAATGTAGCACAACCTCTCTAGCCAAATATCCTTTAGAAAACCTAACATGGAAAAACCCCAAGTCCCACAGCATCTAAGGCTCTCATAATTCTTATATGCTGTTTGATTCCATTCAGTCTATTATGCTGTTTTCATGCTATTCCTGGGTTTCTAATGTGTCCCACTGATTGATAAGAGAAGAGAAAAATTAATTCCAATTGACCTGATGCCTGCAATTTACATTATGCTGATGGTGGTGATTTTCAAAATGGTGACCCCTCATCGTTATAATTCTCTGTCTCATAATGTACTTCCAAGGGAACTGACCTTATTCTGTGCTGTCACAATAAAAAGTGATTATGTTGATAATGTTTTTGCAGGAATTATCCTAATTTCCAGAAATAATCCTTGGGATCATTATCTTTTCTAGGATACCTTGCAGAGCATTCAGAAAAGTAATTTACCAAAGCAGGGCTTTAAAGATTTAATATACCCATTGGGTATAAATACTATAATAAAAATTTATTAAAGAAAATGTATGAAAACGTATCCAACTTTTCTTTAAGATGCCAGTCGGAGTGAAGTATAACAAGTCATGCATGATTACATTACGTCTACTGATTTTTATTAAGTGCCAAGGACATAAAAAGCATTATTTTCTACTCTGAAGAATACATAGAAATGAAATTTTTAAAGAGATACACACACAAACCTAGACACAAAGTAAAATATGGTAATTACAATAATACTTTCCAAATGTCTACTGCATGCTCAACACTATGTTCATTGATTTAGGAATTTTTTTTTAAATGAATACAATGGCTCTCCAAGAAAAATCAAACGTATGCAACAAAAACTAGAATCACTACAATGTAACAAATAAATTAGTGCAAAATAAATGTGGAACTTCAGAACATTTTTCACTTTAAAATAGTAAATGTTAAAAACACATGCATACATATTTTTGTGTTTAAATCTCAGTTAACAGAAAAGCAATAAGTGCGGTCCTCAAATCCTGTCACTGTACTTCCTTCTATCCCAGGACACCCAAGAAAGCAGACAAGCACTTACATGCTTTGTTTTGCCAGGACTGAAATGATCAGGTGCACAGTTTCTGTCCTAAACATCCAAGGCAGCTGAAAGGAGATGACGCCTGGGAGGAATAATGACAGAATGGCAGCACCAACTGCCTGGACACCTTCCTGTACTAGTGTGTTTGGACAATTTCCAAAAGTGATATATGCACAAACTCCTCGGAACTCTCTGGGGGCACCATTCTGAAAGGCACAAGTTTATGTGAATGTTTGAGTCAGAAGACCTGACTTCGTAGAGAATCATTGTTCTCACTGATTCCACCATCCCTGGGCTTATCTTCTTGTTCCTCCCTCCAGTAGCTCCCCTTTCCCACCTATCATCTCTGCTGGCTCCATCCTGGAAATGGTCCCATCACAGCAGGCAGCAACCAGAGGCTTCTATTCCCAAGTCTCCCATCAAGGCTACCTGTCTGTTCCCTGAGTGCTCACCTGGCACCCACCCCTGTCACCCCAGCTCCATCATCACTGCTCAGACACTACCCCGTTTAGCCAATAGAGTTCCCATAATCCACGCTCCCATGCTTGTTCATCTCTCAACCATTTCGCTAGTCTGATTGTGGTGATGATGATAACAACAGTTAACAATTATGAAATGCCTGCATTATGTCAGGCACTGTGTTAGAATTTCTACACAAATCATTTACTCATCATAACCTGCTAATTAGTTACATTGCTATGTTAATTCATTCAACAAACTTATTTGACATCTACTATTAAGTCAATTCTATGAGTAACACACTCTGTTAAGCACTGGATAGAGATAAATAAGAATTGAGCTCCAACTAGTTCACAGTAATAGGTATGCAAGAAGCTGAGGCCCTAGAAGGTCAGATAACTTGTCTGAGGTCACACAACCTTGTAATAAGAGTCAGAATCTGAAACCCATAACTCAGAGAACCAAGTAGCCAATCTCAGCCTTCTACTTCTACACAGACATTTTAAATCCAAATCCTCTCTCTTCACTGTGAAAACCTTAAACCCCCAGATTCTACGATCTCTGCAAGCTGGAGGTTTGAATGTCAGAGTCTCCAATAAAATAACATCTACATTATTTCTCATCCTAACATGAAGCATCAGAAAGCTCACTTGTGGATAAGCATCTGTTCATATGACTACTTTGAACCTGCAAAATCCCCAAGAACATCTTATTTCCACTAGTAACACAAACCAAATATTTGGTTCTTCCATACCTTATGAAAACTGAAAACTAACAAATTTCACTTTTATTACATATAAATCTGCCAAAAACTCATCTAGAAAATTAACATTAACTATCATAACTCAACCAGACCAACTCTACTTGTTAACTTTTTCCTAAATTCTTAGAAAGGGAAACTTTGTGGAAATGGAATGTAAGATAGGAACATAAAATGTGCTATTTGCAGCTGTGCAAACATAACTTTAATAGTTTTTGCCAACTGACTGTGTACTGAAGGCTACAGTAGATGCATCTTCCTGTTCATCTTCTAAAAGCATCTCCCATTACAACCTTTACAAAACTGTTATGCAAATCATTTATAGGAAAATATCTTCTCAAGAAACGAAATGTATGCAGCTCCCCAGTATGGTAGAAAGACAAATGTGGTTTGCTGTTTTTTGGTTTTTTAAAACAAATATCAGGTTTTTGTAATTCAGCAAAGCCAAGCAACATTTACTACATCTTTTTTACTTACCAGTTTCAGATCCTTAGAGGACAGCTTTGTGAACCACTGATTGTACTCCAGAGCAGCAATGATAGGTATTAGGTCCCTAGAAGCAGAAATAACAAAGTACATCGAAGTGTCCTATAATAGCCATATTGACGCTTTACTTTTAATCCATGACATCCAGGTTTACTTGTTAATTCCTGTCATTCACAATTCCTATTTTGACTACTAGAAAACAATTAAATTCTCTAAGACACATCTTCATTACAATGTAAACAGAATTCCCAAAAGTTGAAGTAAATTACCTCTAGGAACTCCGTCTCCTACTTCCAGAGGAAAACAGGTTGGTAGCAGCATTTGCTTAGAGAAACTCCTTGCTCTGAGAGAGACCATATGTCTAATTCCATACTAACAACAAGTACTATTTGTTTAGATTGCTCCTTCATAAATTCTTTAACTATCAAGTATGTCATATATTCTCAAGTCACAGGAGTTCATATCACAGGTAAGTATGGTACCTACCCAGACAATAAGTGACACCAGATGGATTCCCAATGCTTAGAAAGCATTTTGCAACCATTTGGTAGTTTTTACAGTTCTTAGTAGTGATTACATCCATGACCTACCCCAGGTGCGTTTTTGCCTTATGCTTCTTATCAGCTCTTCCATCAAGGAGTGAAGCTATTTTCATGAGAGATCTGCCTCCACTCTAACTTTCCTGCCTGAGTTCCCACAACATGTCCCTATCTCATGCTCAATACAAAAAGCTAACAACTTGCTACTCACCTAACATAATACGCAATTTCACATTCGGAATTATCTTCCACTGCTGTGTTATGAAAATCTATGTGTCCTTCAATGCCTATATCATACCTATTTCCTCTATAAGTCCCCCTCTCATCACTCCATCACACCCCCAGCACATTGTTTGCATCTCTATTTAGCATTTATTTTATTCTATCTTATAGTTTGTCGCTTTAAGTATCTGTCCCCTACCACCCCCGATAATAAGCTCTTCAAAAACCAAGTTTCTGTCTATTTCAGTTTTGTGGCTGAAACAAAACAGCCCTATCAGTTTTATCCTCCGTGTATGACAAGTAGCAGATACTCAACTTTTTACTGAAATAGAAAAGAAAGGCAGAAGGTGGAAAGGGAGCTGAGAATCAATATTATCTGAAAGCTTCTGGGTACCAGGCCCTGTGTTTGGCACTCTACATGGACCATCTCATTCAAATCTCCAAACAACCCTAAGAGGTATTAGTGTTTACATCTTGCAGATGAAGGAGCAGATGTTCAAAGAAATAAAGTCAAAGTAGGCCAAAGGGACAGAACTATGGTCGGAAGCTCCGCTCTGAAGCTCCACGTGTGTAGTCATCAGATATGCTTTAAAAGGATGAAATCGGTGCCCACGGGCAGAGAGAAAAACAACGCAAAGGAATGAGTAGGCTCAGTTATGTGTTTCCATATACCACGTTTTCTATGGACAAGTCTCTTCATTAATGTTGCTTAAGTTTAAGATTTTTAAAAATTAGATTAAAGTAGCAGAACAACAAATCTTTCCATAGTTTTTCTATAGTCTTCACTGTTTGCCTACCCTTCCACCAGTCAAGTGCTCTGTGCTCAAAACAAGTCCCTGAATCTCTCCCTACTGCCTAAAAACGGTGGTAGCTTCTTGGAGGGTGAATTCTACCTAATTTTTGAGGTCCCCCAAAGCCCACGTGGCTTGAGAGTCCTCTCGTATACCCCTCAACTCAGAACTACGGCAAAGCATTCTCATCTCATCTCCTTTTGTGGATTTAATGTCAAGGAGTAACCACACTTAGAACCTTTTTATTGTGTATTCAATTCTGTCACTTGATCTGATTTGAAGTACAACTGGCTTTTGTCATAGACGAATTCATTTCATGAATTGAAGGGCACATCATTAATAGAACCAGGTTTTACATGAATGCAGTGGGTAAGACAGCATCATATCTACAACACTGAAAAAAATATTCTGGTACAAAGTCAAATCTAATAATGATGCCCAAAATGCTTATGATATGATATTAAATTTTAAAAATATACAGCATTCTGAACGTACATTTGTGTGATATAGTCAATGACTGTAATTAATAAAAACTACATAGAAAATGATAGATATAAACACTCACAAATATAGATGCTGTGATCTTTTTAAAAAGAGAAGAAAATATAGCAAAATGTTATAAAGATACCTTGCCTAGGTGTTAGCATTAAAGGTAATATTTTTTTCTAACAAAATTCTTATAGTATATTTTTGAAATTTTCTATGATGATTCGTATTCATAATCTACAAGAGTTATAAAATTAAATGTCCTATGGATGATGTAAATAAATTTTTGCTCTAGAAAAAATTGTCCATGAAGATGACAGAGATTTAAGTATGTTGAGATGGTTTAACTATCATGTTTCTCTAAGTTATGTTAATACCTAGGCTTTTTAGTGTTAAAAAAATTAAGAGACAATCACATATCTTCACTCATTCCGTAAATACTTATTTAGTACTTACTAAGTACTAGGCAGGGTTATTAGGCTTTGAGGGTTAAGAGATGAGTAAAAGGAGTAGCTCTTGTTCTTCCACCACACTCCAGTGGTTTAAAAAAAAAAGACCCCCTATATTCAACCATCTGTAGCACAATGGGAGACATACTGAATGGGGGGGAGGGTTAGAAGTGCCCTAAGCACACAGTAGAACAGCAAGTAAGTTAGCGTGAAGTAGATGGCAAAGGGTTCACAGGGCTTGAAAGAAAGGAAAGGCCAAGCAGGCAAGGAAACAGGAACAGAGTATTTCACTTAATTAGGAACAGCATGCACAAAGGCACAAGAAAGCTGAACGTGCTCAGCAACTGCATCCATTCATATATTCAACAAGTGCCAGCCACTGTGCATGAATCACTGCGCTTGATGCAGCAATGAACATGTTCCCTGCCCTGGGACGCTGACAGCCTGGCACAGCCTAGCAGGAGACTCAGGAAGGAAAAGCAACTATAATAGAGTGAAAAAACCCTATGGGGTAGGGGGAATACAAGATACTATGAGTGCATATAAAAGGAAAGCTAATCAAGACAAGCAGGTTGAGGAAGGCTTCTTGCAGGAAATTACTGAGCCCTCAGAGATGAGGGATGGGCTGAGACACATTTTAGGCAGAAGAAAGGAGCAACACAGCAAGGAATAGCTTAGTCTAAGAGATTTTAGGTTTGACACCATTGTGATTGATAAAAGAAAAAAAATTGACAAATTGAACTTTATCAGAATCAGAAACTTTTTCTCTCCAAAAGATGCTGTTAAGACAAGGAAAAGACAAGCCACATGGTGGAAGAAAATATTTATAAATCATATCTGACAAAGGACTTGTATCCAGAATATACAAAGAACTCTTAAAATTTAACAATAAGAAACAATCACCCCAATTTTTAAAAACAGGCAAAAGATCTAAACAGACACATCACCAAAGAAGATATATGCATAGCAAATGAGCACATGAAAAGATGCTCAAAATTATTCGCCATTATGGAAACGCAGTTTAAAATCAACATGAGATACAACTACACACCTATTGAAAGGCTAAAATTAAAACAAAAACAAACAAAAAAAACCCTGACAATACCAAGTGCTCACAAGGATGCAGAGCAACTGGAACTCTCAACTGTTGCTGATGAGACTGCAAAATGGAAATGTGGAAAACAGTGTGATGGTGTCTTATTAAGTTTAGCGTACATTTACCATATAACCCATAATCCCACTCCAGGTATTTACCCAAGAGAAATAAAAATTCACCCAAGAGACATAAAAATTTATCACAAAAACTATAGTTACTATTTATAACAGTTGAATTCATAATCACCAGAAACTGAAAACAACATGGATGTCCTTCAATGATATTACATGATTTTCAAGTTTAGGATAGAAAAGGCAGTAACACAGCTTTTATGTAAAAGCTCTCAGCAAGCTCACCCCTGGAACCCAGCTGCCTTGCTATGAGGAAGTCCAGGCCACATGGTTTCCCAGCAGACAGCCAGCAGCAACCACCAGATTTCACTGTGACTTAGGATTGTTCTTGCTGTGGGCCATTAAGTTTGGGGTGTTTTGTTACACAGCAATAGATAACTAGAACACTTAGTACCTAAACTAAGGCATGAAAGCTATATTAAGGAAGCATAACTGTAGGCAATGTAGCCATAAAAAGCTTTCAAGCCAAGAAATGTTTCAGAAAGTTAATTTCTGCAATGTTAGAAGCATGTATCCGAGGAAGGTACCAGTCTCTGCAATGCAAGCAAGATGCATCAGAGATCTGGGAGAAGCCTGAAGCAGATGGTGGAGTCAGGGGCTAAAACAAGAGCTAAGGCAAAATAGAGAGTTTTTCCCTCATTGATTTATAGAGCTAATGCAATCCCAATCAAAATATGCATCCTTTTATGATAAAACTATAAAAAAAACACAAGGAGTGTTGGGATAATGATTACAATTGGGTGGGGAAAAGGAGGGAACTGTGACTGAAGATCTATAAAGATATAAGTCTTCTAGGGAGAGGCAATAGCCTATTTCTTGACCTAAGTGGTGATCATAATAGTCGAATTTACAATTATTTGCATCCTGGTACACATCTGCACACTTTTCTCTAAGGAAATAAGCACAAGAATGGCCTTAGCAGCACTGTTCATAACAGACAATAAGCTAACCAAAATATCTAATTAACAGCAGAATGCATAATTGTGGAACGTTCATACATTAGAATACAAAACAGAAATAAAAGAGAACAAACTACAGCTATGCAAACCAACACGTAGAACCTCAGTTTCTCGATACTTAACACCTCTCAGCCTGGCTGGAGTGTGCACAGAATAGTGAACGTTAAATCTGAGAAGACCAAGTGCCTGGGAAGTACTTCAGCAAATACCTATATAAAAGTCAAGGTCTGAACTGAGTGACATTCAGGCTCCCAGAATTCACTACTCTCTGAACATCAAGCCAGCATGAAGAAATGCAGAAACCGGTCAGGGAGACTCAGGCCAGCATGCATCAAGGAGCCAGTAAAGATCAAAACTCTGATAAGATGGCCCTTAAACAGAAATAAAAAATTCA